TATATATATATATATATATATATATATATATATATATATATATATATATATATATATATACACATACATGCATATATATTTAATTATATATACCATGTTCTTTTTTTATTATTACTAAATATGAAGTAACAATAATATAATATCAATAATTTCTCATTCAACAATATAAGTGTATATAATACATCTGTATTTATATCTGCTTGCTTTCTAGCATATTATACTTGCTTTCTAGTAAAACACGTAATAAAAAGTGATATAAAACAATAAGACGTTCAATACAATACTAACAATAATGCATTATAACACAAATATGCATGAAGAAAATTGTTTTCTGGCAAAAGAGGGTGACATGAAATAGCACAATGTTCGACACAATGCTTTTTTACAATGATACAAAAAATATATTTAGCTCTTCAGTTCTGTACTTGTATATTATATATGTATTATGTTGTCTAATAAGATAACATTGTATCGAACATTGTATTATTTAATGTCACTTTTTGCTAGAAAGCAACCTTCTTTAAATGTATATACAATACTTGTGTTATATTATGTCATTATTAGAAAGCATTGTGTCTAATCTTGTCGCTTTGTGTCAATTTGTATTACCTGTGTCTTTTTTTTAAAGCAACATTGTTAAATTCGAAATTATAAAATTGATATAATATTACACTTGCTATTGACTAGGAATGCATTTCTACATTCACTGTCAGTACTGAAAATGTATATTATATACTACATATATTATAGATTTTCAGTACTGGCAGTGAATACAGAACACAGTTGCATAAATATATATTGTATTATATGAACTTATTTAGATTATCTCGAGAAGCAGCAAGACAATTATATCTGGATATATTACCCTATCTACCTCGGAAAAGAAAAGCAACAGCAATTCCTTCTGAATTAAAGATTCCTTCTGAATTAAAGATAATGTTGAGAAGTTCAGGCTTCTTACTGTCGCATAGAGACAGTCACCGGGAACTCATTCCACATGAGCACCGCTTCTTGATTGTTTGGTCCAATGGAACACGATGTTAGGTTTATAATGACTTATATTCAAGGCTGAGAAATAACTGGTTCAAGAGCTTATATAGAGCGAAATGATGCAGAGCTCAAGTTCGGTTCGTGACTGACTTCCCACGCTGCGCATGCATGAGACATCCGACCGCGCACGAGACACCCGAACACGCACAGAGATAAATGAAAGACGCGAACAGTAAGAGGCCGCCGCAGTAGGCAATCTAAACGGCGGGAACGGCGAATGAGGTGGTAAACCCAAACTCAAGGAATATTTTACACTGCCCGTCTTGAAATTCTCGGATTTCAACGGAAAGCTAGCCCATACAACAAACATCTCACCTTAATATTACATACCGCACGGATTAATATATAAACTCAGTGATACATTGAAGTTGGACGCAGATTAGTAACAAAAATACAGTACATAGCATTACAATAATGGAATTATAGGATACAAACGTTTATAAACAATATAAATATGAACATTACTTGTAGCACTTATATATATAACGTAAATAACGATGGATAACAACTTACGCTTCTAATGGTAATAACGCTAGTCTAGTAAGAGGACGGATAATGGTTCCATTGACAGTCTTGATTGAGGCCGATCTGATTTTATTATCTGCACTCACATTTGCGCTTAGTACACGTCCTAATAGCCATTGTAATGGGGCCAATCCAGGTTGTTGAATTACAACTAGCTGCCCAGGTTTAAGAGATTCCTTATCATTCACTCTCCATTTTGTCCGCTCGTGTAAATTATTGAGATACTCTACGCGCCACCGCTGCCAAAAATGCTGTCGCACCATTTGCCAACGCGATAAGCGATTTATCCGAATATCCTCTAAACTTGGATGATTATAACTATTCAGTGGTTGACCAATAAGGAAATGTCCCGGTGTTAGTGGTTGCAGATCATTGAGGTCATTGGACATAGGACTTATGGGGCGTGAGTTTAAAATGGCTTCAATCTCAGTCACCACGGTGGACATCTCATCATAATTGAGTGAGGCATTGCCGATGATTCTTTTCATATGATATTTGGCGGACTTAATCGCTACCTCCCAAAGTCCTCCAAAATGAGGGGCGTTAGGAGGAATGGTTTTCCATTGAATATGAGTTTCTATAAAGAAGCCATTCAATTTAAGCCGAGCTTGTTCTTCGGTAAAAATTCTGTGCAACTCATTGAGCTCACGAGAAACTCCAACAAAATTCGTACCATTGTCCGAGTACACACAAGAGATCCTTCCTCTTCGCGCCATAAATCTTTTAAACGAGCCTAAGAAAGCCTCCGTAGACAAGTCAGCCACCAATTTCATATGCACAGCCTTAGTTGAGAAGCATATGAAAATACATATATACACCTTGATTAGCTTAGCATTACGTATGAGAAACGGGCCGCCAAAGTCCAGACCGCAATGAGCGAATGGATGCGATGGAGTTACTCGCGCCCTAAAAAGATCACTTATGATTGTTTCCGACAAGACAGGTTTCGATTTGAAGCACACAACGCAATTCCTAATAATATTGCGGGTGGTTGATTTAACCGACATTGGCCAAAATTTATTTCGAACCGCGTAGATTGTGGCCTGAATTCCGGGATGAAGATTTTTAATGTGTTCATTGCGTATGATTAACTTTGTAATTGTATGATTCTTAGACAGCAAGATCGGATGTTTAGCTTTGTGTGGAATAGCTGCATTTTTTAAGCGACCGCCTACCCGTAACAAGCCATCCTTGTCTAAGATAGGACTAAGAGACAATAATTTACTCGTGTTAGATATCACTCCCGTTTTTTGCAAATGATGCAAATCCTGACCAAAGTGCTGTTGTTATATGTACTTGCACACAGTATATAATGCATAATTGTATTCTTGCGTTGTTATTAATCCACCACGCCTTTCCGATGCAGTTTTGCAATAATTAACAAATCTAAAAATGTATGCTATTACTCTTATCAGCTTATCAAAATTCGAATATCTAACAATCAGGTTGTCTAATATCTCCGAATCTTGTTTCGTAACATGTATGTTAACCTGTAATTGTTCAGGTAAATATTCTGGCTATCGTGCTTGACAATTAGGCCAGTCTCTTTCATTTAAACTTAACCAATCTGATTCGTTCCACCATAATCTTGACCTTATTAATTCCTTAGGAGCTACACCGCGAGAAATTAAGTCTGCGGGATTAGAATCAGTAGAGACGTGATGCCAATTAGCTATTTCGGTTAAGCCTTGAATCTCTCCAATGCGATTAGATACAAATACTCCAAATTTGAAAGAACGCGCTCTAATCCACGATAACGCGATGGTAGAGTCAGTCCAAAAAAAGATCTTATTCGGTTGTATAGCGATTGACTTGAGTATCTTATGCTGCAATTGAGATAACAAAAGAGCGGCACACAATTCT